TAAAAACCGTGCCTACTATACTATCTTTAGCGTCACTGGCGTGTTGTTTCTTTCTACAAAAACATCAACATCGAAATGAAGAAGATCAAGATTGTGTTCTCGTAAGAAGAAGATAATTCAAATGCTCTTCATGTTCAAAATCCCTGGACGCCGTGTTCCTCTTAGCTGAGTGTAATACCCAAAAAATGTTCTGATACCCATCCATACTCAACTCGTGACACCTCTTCGCTCTTTTTGTATCAGCCCTGCTTGTAATTCTGAAATGACCGGCATTAGCTTTGACACGTACATGTAATACAATCGACCCTGCTCTAACGATCATCTGTATAAGGCGATTACCTATACTAACGTCCCCTTCCCATTTCCTCCTTTTTTATATTATATTGACCCTGTTTGAGACGGCTTCCTGTCTAATACGGCCACTTTTCTCTCGATAATGACTGGCGGTCTTAGAAAGTTTCGACTGTATTATTGTTTTAAGGGGTTGTCGGGCACCTGAAGGCTATCTCGGCTGTGGGACATTATAATGTATCATTGGGGATTTAAAATCTATTACAAAAAAACGTAAATCTGATTCGGTTGCCATGGAAATGGCGGCCATATTGAATTTTGTATATCTATTTCGATCCCATTTTATTCGCTTGTTTTTCAAACAAATTCACTTTAAATTTGGCAAGTACGTAGGAAAATTATAGATCTAAAAATAGTCTTGAGGAATTAAAAAACAAACATATTATTAAGCTTCAGATTTCATTTTATGGCTCGTGAAAATCGGCTTATTTGCCTAATTATAACTGTACAAAAAACAACAGGGTCACCGTTTCGTTTAGGGGGAAGGTAAAATGACAAGTCGGAAGCAACACGTATTAATGCGAAAGATGTGATAAGTGGTGAGAAACGAAAGATCTACAAACTACCCTTGTGAACATTTTCAAATAGTTACTATAATAGTGACAACAAAGACGAATTCAGTTACAGGAGAAACAATAATTAATGTTATTTACATAATATGTATGCCTACATATTACGTGGAGGTGGTGTCTCTTGCATTTACCTCGCTCTACCTCCTCACCACTCTTTCACTTTCGCATTTTTTTCAGTTTCTACGTCTCATTCGAACGTACCCCAAAATCCCCCATCTCTCTCTCTCTCTCTCTCTCTCTCTCTCTCTCTCTCTCTCTCTCTCTTTCTCTCAATACGTGTGTTTGTGTGTGTGTGTGT